ATGGGCCATAGCTTCATAATCCCGATTAACCATGTGTACAACATGACCGATTATAGCAAATCTTGCTTCCTCTGGGGTCTCACTCATCATTCCGAAATCTAGAAAAGCAAGCTTTCCTTCAGGTGTTGCCAAAAGATTACCAGGATGGGGATCCGCATGGAAATATCCATACTCTAGTAGCTGCCTGAGGCTGCACTGGATACCTGCGGTCACTAAATCCAAAACTTTCAAACCTTGCCTTTCAATGGCAGCTTGTTCATTTAGTTTCACTCCATCAACCCACTCCATTGTCAATACTTTGCCACTCGTATAATCCCAAAAGATATCTGGAACGAGGATATCCTCCTTGTCAGCATACAACATCTTGAATTTCCTTGCATTTTGTCCCTCCTGCAGACACCTGTCAAAATTAACACTCATACCTCCAAAATTGGCATGGAGAATAAGAGAGAGAACTTCTTTTTTGTTATTTTGTTTCACAAATTCAGAAAAGATGAGTATATCAATTCTTAACTAATTTGTATCAAGCATATGCATTACATTCTCAGAATTTATATAGCAAACTAAATCTAAATCCACTTCGGACTTCCTCAAATTAATTTTCCCGAACATACAGAAAAAGGGAAGCATGTTTGTGGATAGTTCTGTTTTGAAGAAAAAGTGGGGAAAAATTGCATTAGGATGTAATAAGATCGGTGATAAAAAAAACTAACCTGCACATAGTTGAGCTCTTGAAAAACTCGACCTGCAAATTCATCAATGACGGCAACAGCATCGGTAGTGATTATGTCAACATACTTATTAATGAAAAATCCTAGACCTCTTATGAGGTAAAAATCAAGTCCGATGACCTCTTCAATTCCAGGTCGTTGCACCTTGACAGCAACAGTTTGACCCGAAGTCTTAAGTCGAGCTTTGTACACTTGACCTAAACTAGCAGCCGCAATAGGAGCAGGGGATATGACAGAGAAAATGGAGTCCAGTGGCAACCCCAACTCTGTTTCGATGCATGAGAATGCATCAGCATCAGGAAATGTAGGCAAAGAATCCTACGAACATATCAGACTTAGTAAAATTGACCCAAGGAGCAAAACCCCGAGAAAAGTAGATCTCGCAATATCAGACACCACACAACACAATTACATGTTCACTGACAAAATAATGCAAACACGAGTACATGAGTGTATCAAAATGCTCATATTATTAACATATCAACATTTATACAAATACAGAACATCTAAACATGATTATGAGACAATAAAATACACCAATACCTGCAGCTGAGCCAGCTCCTCGAGATATTCCGGTGGGCACAGGTCCGGCCTAGTGGATAAACCCTGACCCAATTTTACAAAAGTAGGGCCTAATCTGGTGAAGATAGTCCTCAATTCAGCTGCTCGTTTTCTCTTGTTTTGATCCAATGTCCGGTACTTTTGATCCAAAAACAGTTTGAAAGCAAAAAAACCCAAGGCTACCAAGATTTCCAAAGTCCTTTTCACTGCCTAAATCACAGGTAATAGAACTTAAATCCAGACAAAATTCGCTTCTTTTATAATGATTAAATCATAAATTTCAAAAAGCAAATCATCACCTTGACGGGTCGAGACCCATACTTGTTGGCAAGCAATTCGGGACTATAAACAGACGCACCGGCAGCTCGAGCAAGGGCCCGAGCCTCCGCTTGTAGGTCTTCCGCTCGGTCAGCTGGTAACAACCGCATAGACATGGGCGATGGCGAACCGTTGACCCTGGGACTGGCTTCCACCAAAGCAGCTCGAGGACCCAATTTGTAGCTCTGGGGTTTGGATACTGAAAACCCTTTACCGGCCAGTAAATAGGAGTGGCCCCCGGCTGAAGCAACAAGACTCATGGCGGCCACTGCAACTACTTCACCCCCTTCAATCAATGGTCTCTCCCTCTCTCCCTCTCTCCCTCTATATCTATATACTTTCACCCTTTTGATTGCCTCAATGAAGGTTGGAACTATTATCTTTTTTTTTTATTAAAGGCTCATAGAGAGAACTTCCATAAATGGATTTCGTTTCGATTTTCGATGGCCTTCTCAAATTTTCTGATTATTTGCCATTTTATACATGAGGGCAATGCTTAAGTGAATAAAAACCGCCATTTGTCGGTAGTCCAACCCATTTCTGTGGGAGGGATTATAAGAGGGTAATGAATCAAGTTTTTTTTAAAGATGTTTTATGTTCGGTTTATGTTCGTTTAAATTTTTAATATTGTATTCGTGTTTGTTTATTTATTTTTAAAGGTGTTCGTATTCGTTTATTTATTGTTCAGGAACATATTCATTTAATATTCACGAACGTGTTTATTTATATATCCATGAACGTGTTCATTTAACGTTCATGAACATATTCGTTTAGTGTTCGTTTATCACTCGTTTATATGTTTGATTTTTAATTTTATCCTTTCATTTGTATGCTAAAGAAAATGGTAAAATTATGTCACTAGTTCTTAAACTCCTTAAAATTTATAGTTTATATTTCATTTTTTACAATGTGTACAATTTAATCTCTACATTCAACAATATTTAAAATGTAACAAAATTACCAGAAAATGAACTAAAATTTTTTTATAAACAAACTCATAAATGAGCACACCTCTGTTCGTGTTTATTCGTTTATTAAAAGAACATAAAATTTTTTGTTCATATTCATTTATTTAGCTTATCAAACGAACGTTATACGAACAGTTCACTAAACGCTTTATTCATTTATACTGTAAGTGAAAAGATGTTTTGGAAAGTTAATTTGATGACTGCTATGTTTTTGTTTTTTTTTATTCCACTCAAGTAAAATAAATAGTTAAAAGGTGACCGCCTAAATTTTATTATCCACATGTTATGTGATAAAAAAAATAATGTTTAAATTAGGTATTTAATTTTTAATGATAAAAATCAAGCATTTTTTATAATTCTAGAATAAATATAAGGGATATTTAACAATATTTGTTTATAGATTTCCAATAATTTGATAATGAAAATTCATACTCGTAATATAAATAATGTTTGAACGTGAAATTTTAAAGGATAATAACAATCTCTTAACTATTGATATTGGATGATTCGTGTAGTGTTTATCTTTTTGAACGGTGTAGTTAGGTATTAAATTTTTTCAAGGTGCATACTTTTAGTTTCTGATATAGTTAGATATAATAAATTTTCAATCGGAACGTTTTGATTTGGTCCATACTCAATCATTTATTTTATGGTGTCTAAAAAGAATTCACTTAAATGATATATTTTCTGAGATTTTAAGATGCACTACTAAGAGTCATATTGATGATTTTCTACACCTCTTCTTAACATGCAAATACTTTTATGCTACTTCTAAGAGTATGTATGTATTTGTAAATATATTACTCATCTTTAAACTTTTATTTGCTAATTTTTTGATTATTTTTTCTATAATTTTTTATTTGGATGTCAAATCTTTCGGTATATCATTAAAATCGTTAAATCAGATGCGTTGATCATCAAGATCCTAAACAGATTCAAACAGTAAGAAATGAAAGATTATATCTATTACATTTTATATTTCACATATCATACACGAAGTTCTATCTGAACAATGATGTTGATATTACTAGGGTGATTGACACATAGTGTGTCAATTTCTTATCTAATGTGGAGTTGCGCATGTAGTTGGTTGAGGTTGAGGTTAGTTGTTCAAGTTCAAATACTAAACTAGTACACATCGGTGTCACAAATAAAGCAAACCTAAAAGGATTGTTTCATGAGATGTATAAGAAACTAGAAGAAAAGGGATAAGGGGTTGAAGAACTTAATATAACTTCTGACGAGTCTACAAATTATGATGACTAAAGTTTTTATATAAGAGTTATGTGTTTATGACTAAGTAGAGTGTGTTATTTTCATCTTCTTATGTATATAGATAGAGAACTCTTTTAATGTAGTATGTTAGTCTTATCCTTACTCAACAACAATTTTTGTTATGTTTTTCCCTCTAAGCCCACTGATAGAAATTTATTTGGTCTCTCAATTGATATTTCTCCTCCATTCAATCTATAATTTGTTTTTTTTTTTACAATTTAAACATTTTATTTCAAATTAAATAAAACATTTAAAGTATTCATATATTCTTTTCTACTTTGAATTACATGGATAATTTTTAGTTTAAATTTATCTTTCAATGATCAAATCATAATTAGTAGGTTAACGTCCATCTTAGACAAACGTCAATTTTTAACAGAAATCTGTAAATATAATTGAACAAAAAATCAATTGATGATCCGTAAAATATAATCAAACAAAAAATCAACTGATGACCAGTAAAATATAATTGAAAAATAAATCTAACAGAAAATTGGATTGAGAAATTATCGGTAAAAATAACATTTTTTTAACATTTTTTGTAAATTTTAACCTTTTTTTTGTCGTATTGACTAATCTGAATATACTCGTGTCGTACACCTAATTTTAATAGATAAATTTTCATTTTTTACATACACAGACGAGAGCAATTTTAGATAAAAATAACAAAATTTGACCATTTTTTTAACTTTTAAACCCTTTTTTTTTACTTCCCATTAGTTAATAAAAACAAAATGTTACTTAAATAGCGTAGGGTCAATATTTACCCAGCAAAAAAGTATGGTAAAACAATCCTTCCATATCCAACCTTCCATATCCAACCTGTGCAAAAACAATTTCAAGTAATGAAATTTTTTAATTCATATAAAAATATTTTCAAGTCATTTTAAAATATTAAATTGCAAATTTATCCTAAATAATTTATGTAAAATTAATTTGGAAGTGAAATCCTTGCTTTGAAGTTTTCCCTGCAAAAACCAAATCTTTTTCTTTTCCCTCCATTTTTGTTTCTCAACAAAAACAAAAGGCAAAGGACAGAATAAATCCATTGAACCCCAATAAAGATTCATTGCAAAATCTGAAAATTTTGGTTTTTTTTTTGTCGGTGAAAGCAAAAAAAATTTGATTTTTTCTTTGCTCTGGGTCGATGGCAGAAATGAGGAAGAACAAGGCGAAATCATCATCTTCATCTGGGTTTTTAAATCGTTCCTTTACGATGCACGCTCCATCCAAAGTTGATTCCAATCATCCCAAGGTTCATTTGTTCCTCAAGAATCAACACTCTCAAAATCGACCGGCTCCGATTCCCAAATTTCACGATTCAATGGATTCCGTCAAGGGTAAAGTTCAAAAGCTTCGGAGTTTGTTCGAATCAGGAAAATCTTCATCGTCTTCATCCAACTTGCCTAGTCCTAAAGAACATGCCTCTAAGCCCGTTTTAAGACCCACAAAATCGATGATTTCATTGGGATTTATTAACCCTTCGATAAGATTACCCGAGACTGAAGATCGCATCGTTGTTTATTTAACCAGTTTACGAGGAATTCGAAGGACGTATGAGGATTGTTATGCGGTGATGATGATTTTTAGAGGATTCAGACTTTGGGTTGATGAAAGAGATATTTCTATGGATGTTGCTTATAAGAAAGAGTTGCAGAGCATCTTGAAAGTGAAGAATGTGACTTTGCCCCAAGTTTTTATCAAGGGAAAGTACATCGGTGGTGCCGATGTGATCAAAAGCATGTTTGAAATGGGTGAATTGGCTAAGATTCTTGATGATTTTCCCAGGAGAAAACCTGGGTTTGCTTGCAATGCTTGTGGGGATGTCAGGTTCGTGCCATGTAGGAATTGCTGTGGTAGTCGAAAATTGTTCGACGACGATGAAGGCTTGATCAAGAGATGCTTCGAATGCAACGAGAACGGCCTGATACGATGCCCTGCTTGCTGCGATTGAAGCTTTGGATGCTACAACAACGTGTTAAAGGTACACAATGAAGCTCCTGATCTTCATCTGTTAACGAATATCGATAATGTGGACAATGCATTATATGCTAAGTAATGAAGCTCCCGTTCTTCGTTCATTCCATGTCTTGGATATTGGCAATAATAGTATGATGTAATCAAAATGTCATAGCATTTTAATCGTCGAGGAGATTGTTTCTTTCTTTCTTTATGGTATTGTAAATACTTAGTGTTATCTTAATGTAATATGTTGTAAGTGATGGATTGGGATGAGAATAGACTATTATTTATGCTTTACTTGTGTTCTTGAATTCACTTTTGTCATCAAAGAAAATTAAGATGCATATTTGCCCAAATTTTCATTCTTTCATAGGGAACCAAGAATTCAGGAACTGTTCCTAGTTCTTGGGTTTAGGGTCTATTTGGTATGCTAGTGCAATCAATGGTTTTAGTATTGACCGCTTATATCGTTTGATTTACGTGCTTGTAGAACAATACAACTTAATCATGATTTATGAGAATGATAGATAGATAGATTCTATATTTTATATTAGCAACTTAGATAGGAGTTTTCAGCCAAGACAAATAGACATCTAATTCTCTAAGGATGTTTTCTTTGGTCGGTATAGAAAAACACTTTAATGTCTCACAACACAATTAGATCTACGCACCCCTAAACCTTAAATCATAAACTCTAAACCCTAAACCCGAAACAAAAATAAGATAAAATCTCGAACCAAAAAATGAACTCTCTCAAGAGACTTGGAAGAAAGAAAACTCTTGTTGATATGTGAACTGGTTGTTTGGTGTATTTTCGTAAGGAAAGTGCCTATTTGTAGGTTTCAAAATTTTTTAAAATAGAAAAATCTAATATGTTTTACATTAATGTTAGATATACTTGAAAAAAATAATGCATTTATTTGAGCATAAAATAAACATAATTTTAACTGAGTAAATAAATTATAAAATAAAATTAATATTAAATATTACTTAAATTATTTAAAATAAATAATGAAAATACCAATAAATTTGTTGGTCTAGTGGGACGAGGTATTATATCTCTTAAGCAGAGTCAGGAGTTCAAATCATGATGTTTGCGAATAGAGCAAACTGGGTTGGGAGGGTAACCCTTGCCTCTGCAGTACCCGATCCGAATTAGTCGATTAATAAAATCAAAAATCGGTGATTATACCAAAAAAATTAATAATGAAAATTATTAGGTTGAATTTATTTATAAATAATTAATAAAATAATTAAAATTTTGTAATAATTTAAAATTTTTATATTGGACTCATTTAAATTTTTGTACATACTATCTCCGCTAAAATAGATATATCATGAGTTATTGACATTCGAATGAAGTATTTTAAGATGCATTAGAAATATAATTGAAAACCTTCTATACGTAAAAAGACAACTAGACAAAAAAAAAAGTGTGAACCCCATTCAAAAGGCATGCAAGCTAGATTATATATTTTTAACAAATTCTTGTAAAAAAAACAACACTAGTGATATTTGTATTATAGTTAATCCAAAAGAGTCTCTTTTTCGTTTTTCATTTTTGCACATCTCTTGTATTTTTCTCTCATTAATATTGTTCCTTAATTTTCTAATTGTCCCCTTCTTTTGATTCATTCTCGTTAAAATACTATAAGGGTGCGTTTGGTTCACGGAATGTAAGATTACCAGTGGGAATAAAAGATAATCAGGGAATAGGATTACTGGGAATGTTATATTTTGTGTTTGGTTGGTTTAGCAGGAATGTAAGATTACCGTATTTGGTTAAAGGAATAAAAGATTATTGAAATATATATTTGACCAAATTGTCCTTATTATATATTTGTTTTTAACAAGTTAGAAAATATTTATATATTTTCTTTAAAAAAATTAAATTCATAAAATTTATATAATTTTTTTACAAAATTAAAAATATAAAAAGGTTTAATGAAAGGGTAAAATTTTATTTTAACCCCTGAACCTTATAAAATTTTAATTATAGATTTTTTTTTTGTAAATCTAAAATAGTTTAAGGATAAATTTGTAATTTAACATTCGTAGAATTTTTATTATTTAATGATAGAATAATGATAATTTTTAAAGAAAAAAAATTAAAGGCATTTTAGTCCAAAATGCCGGTAATCCAACAATACCTAAGGAAAGGGAGGTAATGATATTCCCTATAATATACCCCAAAAAATCTACTATTGGTAATGTAAGATTATCGGAAATGACATTCTCGGCTAACCAAACGGGGGAATGTGTATTCCATTCCCGAGGGAATATGTATTCCATTCCCATGGGAATCTCACATTCCTGGGGGAATGTGTATTTCATTCTCATGAGAATCTCACATTACCTCAACCAAACACACCCTAAGGGTAAACTATATTAAATGGTCACTAATTTTTGAATAAGTTTTCATTTTCTCTACTAAAACTTCAAAAGTAATAAATCGATCACTAATGTTATCGATTTGTAACAAAATGATCACTCCATCATCATTCTGTCAAATTGATGACGTGACAACATTAACAAAAAAATTAATATTAGTTTTATCCTTAAATTATTGTTAAAACATTAAATAGGTCTTTAAACAATGATGTTATATCTAATTTAACCCTTAAAACTTTCTAATTTTATTCAAATTTACACCTTATTTTCATATCTCATATCGCTTTTTAGAGTATTGAAAGTGAAAATCAAACAAAGAATTTAATTTCTCCCATGGTTGCTCCATCACCCTTTGATTCTAAATTTTTTAGGGATAATTCTATGGCTTTTATATTGGATTGTATTATGCGATAAGGCTTCATAACGTGTAAACCTCATAAGCCTTTTTGAGAAAAAGAAAAGTGAGCTTTTGACGGCAAAAAGAGGAAGAAAGTCCCCATATTCATCTTGCTCATCATTCAACATCAATGATTAAATACTAGTGATCTCGGTGGAAAAATAATTATTGTTAGTCCTTAAGGTTTCGGGTTCGAGCACTGACAATGTCATAGATATGAGCGTTCAATGCCAAATGATTAAGAGTTATCTTTAAACATATTCTACCTTATACTTACCCTCAATTATTCAAAAAAATAAAATAAAAATCATCCTTTTTTTCTTCCTTTATTTATTTTCTATGATTAATTTTTTATTACTTTTAAAATGTCCTTTAAATCTTAAAAAAATCAAACTTTATTTATGTTAATATACAACAAGACGCTATTTTCGGTTAATACAATTACGTTGATATTAAAAATAGTATCCTTTAAATCTTCCATGAACTATATATTTTTGAGAAAATAACTTAAGTGACCGAAAATGCCTTATAATATACGATTTTAACCAACTTTTTTTGGATTTGCAAAAATAACCAACGAATTCGCAACGCGATTTCAAAATCGCAACACGAACTCCAATTTCGCAATACAGTTTCCAAATTCGCAACACGAATTTAGAATTCGCAACACAGAAGTAAAATTCGCAACTCGAATTTGACAATTTCGTAACACGAATTTCTTTTTCGAAACACGATTTTTAAATTCGCAACACAAGAGTCCTTTTAGCAACAAGATTTTATAATTCGCAAAGCGCGTTTCAATTTCGCAACACGAATTTTATTTTCGAAACTCGATTTTCGAATTCGAAACACGAATATTAATTTCGTAACACAAATGTAAATAGTATATCCCGTAAATCGCAACTCAAAACATAAACCTCTAAATCGCAACTCAAAACCTAAACCCCTAAATCATAACTCAAAACCTAAACCCCTAAATCGCAACTCAATCTCATCTCCATCTCTCACTCTCTACGGCGACATCCGTCCCCATCTCCGACGACATCCGTCCCCATATCCGACGACCCCACTCCATCTCCATCTCTCACAGCCACCCTTTCACAACCATTCACGGCTACAAATGGAAAATCAACCACCGAGGGTTAGTTTTTTCTCTTATTTTTATTTTTAAATTTTTGTATTATTATTAGATAATTAATCATTTTCATATTTAAATTGATGTTAAATTTACTCATAATTTCAATATATAGATTAACCATTTCACTTAGATTGCTTAGTAAATTCATTGGGTTGTTGCCAATACTGCTAAATAGTTTAGTCTTTAACCCTGTGAAGTTAGTATTTGTCTTTTGGTTGAAGTAATGCAATTCATTCAAGTTTCAATTTACAGAAGAAGAGTAGTTTATTCTTGAAACTTAAATTCGTAACACGAAAATCGCAGCTCGAAAATTAAAATTCGCAACGCGAAAAAGAAATTTGAGTTGCGAATTCAAAATTCGTATTGTGAATTTCATTTTTGAGTTGCGATTTTCGTGTTGCGAATTTAAGTTTCAAGAATAAACTACTCTTCTTCTGCAAATTGAAACTTGAATGAATTACATTACTTCAACAAAAAAACAAAGACAAATACTAACTTCACAGTGTTGCGAATTTAAGTTTCAAGAATAAACTACTACTCTTCTAGAATGTTGTCCTTGAACCTGCACTAAACCTATATGTTATCCTCTTAAATGTTTATATAAGTGCTTACTTCTGGAATGTTATCTGATGCATTTTGTGAACTATGATAGAATAATGACTTGGGTGAATACCGGGTTAGTTTGAAACATATTTGGCTATATTTTCCTTGTTTAATATCATGTCTATTTATTGTGTATAATTTGTAGTTTTTGGTATATTATTTTTATATCTAACTTGATATTTTTATTGTTTTTGTTAGGAATTTTTTTCGGCTGCATTGACTTTAAGGAATAAATTAAGCCTAGTCACTACAATTGCGTCGACACTTACATATGTCCAAAGAAATTTGTTTGAGAATACTTGTTTCGGGCCATGGCTGAAAGTACAACATCCAAGTGGAGATGTTTTGTTGACTCATTTGTTTCTACAGACCATGACTAACGATCTACCTGAGGGGATACAACATGGCGATGAGGAGATATGGTTTCATTTTCCACCGACGTATACTCGTTTTGGGCGGGAGGAGTTTTTCTTGGTCAATGGTCTACGTTTCGGATGACACGATGAATTAGGTCCGTACACTAATCATATCGCTCGCCCATCATGGTTATTTCGGGTTTTTTGTGAGCTGGCAAAGGTGAAGGCCACTTTACACATCGATGATTTGAGAAGATTACTTCTTAAAGATGATTTTACTCGAATGGATGACCTTGATGTTGTCCGAGTATGCCTTTTGTTACTTTTGTATGCCAGTTTTTTAGAAAAAAAGGATAGATAACCTATTTCCCAAGATTTAATATTATTAGTAGATGACCTAGATGCATGGAACGTGTTTCTGTGGGGTTCATATCTATGGAAAGCTACTTGGAAAAAATTGTCGTCTGCCTTTGAGGACCGTCGTAGTTTGCGTGGGCATGGTTCCAAATACACTTTGGTAGGCTTTATTTGGGCCTTCAAGGTAATAATTTCTATATAATGTTTCCAAAATTAATTATTTAATAATTACTAAAATTAATGTTTGTGTATTATATTGTAGATTTGGATATTTGAGCCATTTCCTAGCATGCGTACTTATGCCATCAAGAATTCAAATGATATTCTTATAACTATTACTTGGAAGAGGATCCGTCTGTTGGATTGGGAAGATTTACTACCATATATGACGATCAATGATGTAAGTTACCACAAATACTACCATATATAAACAACTTATTACTAGTAGACGTTTGACTTTGTTTGAGCTTTTATATTGTTAGGAGGTAAACTATCCATTACAGACATTGAGACCCACAGAGGCTGAGGTTGCCACTGATTGGTGCCAAGCTAGTAGGCGTTTTTTATGAGATGGATGATGAGCACCCCCTACTTTTTCATCGAGTCGATTCTTCACTTTGACACCGAGATCCATCACCTCATCGAGTCGATTCTCCACTTCGACACCGAGATCCATCACCTGATCGAGCTGATTCTACACCTCGACACTGAGAGCCATCACCTCTAGCCGACTCTACACCTCGACACCAAGAGCCATCACCTCTAGCCGACTCTACACCTCGACACCGAGATCCATCACATATTCCATCACATCATCGAGCCTCTTCTCCACCATCACCTCATGATAGGCGACCGACAAAGATGCCACGATATTTATCTCCCCGTTCTCCACCTTTACGGGATGAGTTAGGTTCTTTACGTGATGAGGTCAGTTTTACGTGATGAGGTCGGTGATTTACGTGATGATAATGGTGCATGGCGTGATGAGGTAGGGTCTTTACGTGGTAAGGTAGTTATTTTACGTGATGATAATAGTGCTTTACGTGGTGAGGTAGCTGCTTTACATTATGAGGTAAGTGCTCTACGTGAGATTATTTCATCGTTGCAGAATAAGGTTCATACTCTACGCAATGAGGTAAGTTTGTTTAATTTTATAAGAAATATTATACTAAAAATGCAAATAACCTTTTTTCAACATTATTTATTTATTTATTTACTGATTTATGTATTAATTTATTTTTAGCGGCCCGATGAGGTAAGTGCTTTACGTTAGGTTTTTCTTGTACGACGGGGTTCACGCATCAGACGTCGTTGACCTGCCATTACGTCTCCTTTCACCCCAATAGTTCCAAGACTGCGTAAGAAGAAGCCTGATCCACCTACCATTGTTCAGGATCCACCTCCCATAATTCAATAGGCCCCTTCCATCATTCAAGAGGCCCCTCCCATCGTTCATGAGGGCCCTCCCATCGTTCACGAGAATCCTCCCATCGTTTAGGATCCACCTCCCATCGTTCAGGGCCCACATTCTATACTATGTCAATATATTGGTAAACCCCCTCTTGTGTCCGGTATGATGGATCAGATATGGCTTTCGTATCAGTTACTGGCCAGTACCATTCCTCAGCACGAGATATGCACACTACCAGACACAATTAAGGATAATACCATTTGGGCTAAGACAGTAGTTGATTTTTATCTACATGAGCAGAGCCAGAGGTGCTTCACCGACATATGCTAAATCAACAATACACATTTGTTTCTTGAGCGGTCTTGGTGGGATGTTTTATTAGGGGTTGAAGAGAATGACTATTTCAAATGGGGGGTAAGTATTATATTCTTTTTATATTGATTTTGATTATTTTTTTTAAATTTATTAAATTCACTAATATATGTATTTTTTATAAAACAACATATTGATGCATGGGTAACACAACTTATGATTTTAAGGAAATTGAAGAAACTCTAAACGACGCGATGAACTATTATGCCTTCGTCTTTTCACGCAGCTTATTTGCAGGATCAGAGAGACGCTTCATATGCGTTAGGTAATGGAAAAGCTATCATTTATCCTGCGTGGTGGGAGGTCGATAAGGTTAGTATTTATTTTTGCATATTTAAAGGTGTTCATAAAATTTATTTGATGTGCGCAGTTGAAGTATTATTTATTATATTGCAGGTGTTTATCCCTGTTATAGAACGTCGTCATTGGTTTCTCGTCGAGCTTCAGCTCCCATCCTTGAAGACGATAGTATATGACAACATGATGAATTACATACCATTGTTTGATTTGAAAGATATTATTTGATTTGAAAGATATTATTTGCAGGGATGGATCGATCTTTTGGCTAAATACTTGGATGTGATTTCTTATTGGACTAATTCAGGAAACAAGAAGACAAATAAGTTAAAAGTTACAATGATGAGAGACGAGACAACGCCACAACAAACATCAATAGCCAAAGGGGATTGTGGTCTGCTTGTATGCATGTGCTTGGAACGTATGACGAGATGAGGTAAATAGTTTCTACCTCTTACAGATAGAGATAGAGGTACAGTAGGGTTGTAGTTTTGACATTTTATGGTTAGAGAGATATATGCAAGACGTGTCCTACCTGCATCCAGTGGTTGATATGCAATAGTATGACCATGTGAGAATTTCCTTTCACTTGTATATATGACTTTGAACTGTGATTAGAATGTACATGATTTTCACTTGTGATTTTTATGTATAGGTTTGAAGCCGAGAAATATTGAGATGCTTACAACCTCACCAGGTGCTGAAAGTGTGCATAAACAACCATTTGTTATTGGTAAGTTTGAACAAGGGTTGTTAACCTGTTACTCTTTGTTTAGATGAAATATTGATCAAAAGTAGTTTGAAAATGTTTGGTTAAGTACCTAGAATTCAATAATTTCAGCTCATATTTGTTGGTTTTGGATGTGTAGAAAATCTCATGGCCATAACATTTCTACAGGTTAATCCTTCCAGATGCTATAATTTTGGAAGGGATTCTCATTTTTCATGACCCTCGTGTCAGAGAGTTGATGAACATGAAAATATTTGTTGATACAGGTTAAATAATTAAATTTATCTCAGTTCATTGGCTGATCATATCCATTTACAAGTTGTATATAATGATTGTCAACCTAAATTATGTTGTACATAGTGAACTGTGGTATATATATTAGTTTTCTGACCAATGTCTATAAGCTCCCTATTGTTAGGAGCATTTTAGGTTGGAGGTACTGTCTGGGGCAAATTGATGTTAATGTGTTGTAAAGTGTAAATAATTTTTTTTTGTTTAATTGATTTGTTTAATTTCAATCAGCATTATGTTGAAGGCAAAAAAGACCTGTTGAAGGCACACTATCTTTAAGAAAAAAAAATCGCAACGCGAAAATAGCAACTCGATATTCAAATTCGCAACTTGCAGTCACTGGTGCTCAAATCCATGAGCTTTAGAAACAATAAAGATTCATTTAAACATTAAGATAAGTTGGTTCGTGCTTCTATGAACTAATTTTGTCCCCCTACTATTACAATAAATTTCATGTGATTTTTTTGTTTCCATACATTTTATTCTTGTATTATAAACTTGACAAAGTCTAAAAGAAATATAAAATAATTTTTAAGAATGAATGATTTTTTTTATCTAAAGTAGTTTTCATTCTTCTATTTTAATTCTTTATAATTATTTTGCTTCGTTCGATTATATAATAATATTTATTTATTATTGTTATTTTTATCTCGGATCAACATTTTTTTCTAATAATCTTAAGACGTATTCCTTTTATTTTTTAATCCGAAACGAGATTCTTTAAATTTAACGAACGAAGTAACAAAAATCAGAGATTATTTGTGAGTTCGAATCAATTTGCATGTTCCAAAAAGAAGCAAATTGCATGTCATTAGGAGGAACCACACCAAAGTGAAATTTCTCAAGCAATTTGTCGTTTCGAAAGCAAACGAGTCTTCTTGTTGACTCCAAAAACTCACGTTGATTCCAAAAACTCGCGTTGATTCTAAAGTGAAATTCGTGTATTGGAGATGGAATGTACAATGGCGCAGATTTCCAAACTTTGATAAAGTGCACATGACTTGTTTTATAATACCATCTTAATTTTGGAGAAAGATGCATATCTATTGGAGTTTAAGCCATATTGAAAATTCATTAATCTATTTATTTGTTGGTGTTATACGGATTTACTCGAGGAAATAAATGTTTGATGTTGATGCCCTTCTTAGAGTTTGATCATGTAACAAAAGAAGATTTCTTCAATTGATATGAGTTTTCACTTTGGGATTTGATCAAAAGCAAATTAACCATGAGGAAAAGTGTGATCTATTGTGATCCCGCTCTGATGAGCCCGATGACCACTCAATAAGGAAGGAATCTGTGCAAATGTTTTCTAGTCAAGGGATTTCCTAGTCAGTCTGCAATCCAAGTTCGAGAACCCATTGTTCACTCCGTTAATTGGCACAACCATACCAAAGAATCAAGAAAAGTAAGCCACTTCAAAGGACAATTGACAAATCAAAACAATACGGGGTCCTCCATTAGTAAAGAGGAAACATATGTGCAAGGTATGTTGAATCGATTGTTATTATTATTTTTTAATCATACGAACAATGAAGGGTAAAATTTTGAATTTTGTATACGAGCATTGGAATCGATTCTGGAGTACTAAGTTATTTGAAGGTAACGAAAGTCCGACACTGGATTTTTAGCAAGGCTATGGCCATAACAATGTTGTTTTTCAAGAGAATAATTATCTCTAGATTGATGATGATACACTAAACGGAGAAATAACGTCTGTGGATGTATCAACAGATGAACAACCTTGTAGAAAACAACTGTTTCACATATCAATGTAGGCTCCAACCATTACGAACTAGTCGAAAATGGTGGCTCCAATACAGAAGTACTGCAAATGTATATGCATAATTAATTCATTTAAGAATTTATCAAATTGTTTGCAACCAGTGGAAATAATCCATTGAGGCATATTTATTTGTTATAATTATTGCCTAACAAAATGTTTTGTTTTGCATTTGTTTCGTAAAATGCATTGATCACAAGCCAACTTTTGATGAAAAGTTGAGCAAAGTGAAACTTTGGTGATATAGATCAAGGCATCAAAATTTTAATTTTATTAAATCATGCTATTAATAGTTTCAACAGAATGATGTTGATTGTGAACTTCTGTTTCGGGTTTAAGTTATACTAAATTCCCACCGTTTAACAAAAATTACTCAATTGTTGGATTTTAATTTTGACTAAAATTTGTTGCGATAAATAATGTACCGAACAAAAAATTTTGACTAAAATTTGTTGCGATAAATAATGTACCGAACAAAATTATGATATGTCTGTGAACAAAAATGGGGCTATGATTCTGTTTCAAGATTTTAATTTCTAATTATATTTTGTTTAACATAAGCAAATGGTATGAATTAACTTTTGTAAACACTCATTTTTGTCCGGGTCTTGAAAAAAATATTATTATCATTATTATTATATTATTATTATTATATTAACAAAATTACATTTTTTGTGTAGGCCAAAATGGAGCCCAATTACAACAATTATACCCAGACCCAATTACAAGCAAGCCTCAACCCAGCTGCAACCCGAAACCTGAAGCCCAGATCCGAACCGGTCCAGAGAGAATATTTGACCTGGCCCCTAGGGTTTCTAAAACCCTAACCCTAGGGGTATGATTTGTTGCCGCCACTGCCCTACTCTGCTGCTGCCGCCACCTGCACCTTAGTCAGCCATCATTTCAGCATAAAAAAATAGAGAAAAGCATATTAGAACAGTAGATCTAGGATTTTATTTTAAAACTTATGTAAAATACGGTTATAAAAATCGGACCATGTAACAAGCGAAGGAGGTCTCTTCCTCTCGATTTTTTTCCAGAGAAATACAAAGTAATATTTGAAGGTATATTTTCTTGTGTTATTTTTTTGGTGTTCAAATTACAAGCAAGCAAGTTTTTTTGTGTTCGAAATATAAGCAAGAAAATTATAAACAAATAATGTTTTTAACAAGTAAAAAAACCATGCGTGTTATCTAATCTAAGAGAGAATAGTAAGGATTTTTACCTGAACGGGTGTCGGTTCATCACCACGGTGGTTGGAGTGTGAGAAAGCCTAAACGTCTAAACATAGTTTGGTTAGTTTTCGAGTGATTTTTGTTGTTTCTAGCCTCAAATAGGGGTAAAAGGGGGTAGATCTAGGTTCGGAGGAGGATTTGGGTTAGTTTGGAGAATTCCAGCCACCGTACGCGGTGACCGGACGGAAGCCGGAGGCTGTGCAGGGCGGCCGACAGTGGGCTGGCCGAGGAAGCTCTCGAGAGCTCTCGACCTTTTTTCTGATTTTTGGGAGAAAATGAAACAAAAACCAAAAGATTGATATATATATAGGAAAAGTTAATGGTTAAATTGCATTTTAAATACCTCCATTTTAGTCGTGTTTTTACATTTTTGTTCTTGTAGGGACCAAAATTGATATTATACCAATTTTTATGCATATGTTAATTATTTGGTAAATTAACTATTTTAGTCCTTCAAACTTAGCCGTATTTTTACACTTTGGTCATTGGACCTTTCATTTTTTCATTTATTGTAATTTTATTACTCAATTTTATTTTATTTTCAATTTAGTCCCTGTTAGTTTTTTTAATTTAGCCACTGTTATTTAAATTTTTACATTTTGATCCTTGTTTATTTTTTATTTAGTTACTGTAGCATCCTAAACTATGGGTTAGTGACTAAATCGTAAAGTTTTAGAATTTGGTGACGAAAGTAGAAGAATGGAATAGTTTAATGATTATTTGGAAATATTACTTGAAAGATATTAGTAATTATTAGATGAATTGAAGGGCAAAAGGGTCATTTACAGGGAAAATAATTAAAGATGGATATATATTAAACATGTGGAAGAAAAGAGGAAAAAAATTGGTTTCTAGAGTTCTCTTCATCTTTCTTCTTCCTTCACGCGTGAAAACCAAGAGCTAAAGGTGGGTTTTCTGATTTTTGAGTTTCTGGTTAAATTTAAGGTTGAGTTTTGATTATTAGGTGATAATTAAGCTTAAGGAGAGCTTAAATTGTTTTTAAACAATAAGATGAAGAGAATAGAGGGAATTAAAGAAAATAGATGAATAAGTGAAATCTTGAAAGAGGGTTCTTTAATAAGGTTTAAGAGTGATTTGACTTGTCATCAATCTAATTAACATGTATGAAGTGTTAGAATTGGATTTGTAACATGTTAAAATTTGGGTCTGATTCTTGAAATTCATAATGAGGAGAGGATATGGAGGTTAAAGAAACGATTATTGAGTAGAAATGAGTGCAAGTATGTGTATGAAAGTTAGGAATATTAAAGGAGGTGAAAGATGAGGATTTGAGCTGAAAAGAGAGTGAATTTCGTGCTCAAGATGTAATTTCTGGGTAGTGTGCATCGATGCATATTCAATGTGTATCGATGCACTCTCAAATGAATGAACATCGAATGCAATTAGTGCATCGATGCACCCCATTAAAATACAAACATCGAATGTAAATTGTGTACCGATGCAGGGGTAGTGCATCGATGCACATGTAAAGGGATGCATCGATACACTGTAGAGTGTACCGATGCACTTCAATGGAAATGGAATAAATCTTTATTTAAGTCTAAGAAATGATAGATTATAGTATATCAATTGGAAACTGATAGTATCAATACATGATTTTGTAGACATCGATCGAAAGCAAAGTTCGAATAGGTCGGTAGAGTAAGATACGCAATGAAGAACAAGAGCTCATAAGTATTCATTGAGACCAGGTGAGTACATGATATTAAGTGTACGTTATATATAGGGAATGAAGTATTGCGATGAGTCTAATTCCAATATTATGTGATCAGGGGTACTAAAGCACAAACATATAGTGATAATTGAAGCATAAACATGTAATGATATGGTGCTAAATGTATTGTATATGAGTAAATGCATATGTTTAATTTATTGAATTTATCTTTATATGTGACCTATGTAAATGTATGTATGTATGATAGGTTATGTGATCCCGGAGATAAATATATATGAAAGTGATATGACTTATGTTCTACTAGAATGTTACATGATATGTTATGTATGCTAAATGAGTGTTGTGAACATGATAGTGTAATAGCTAGGTTAAATGTTATAACTGAATGAAGGGATGTATGAGAGCATGTATATGCGAACATGTGTTATGATAAGAATCATGACTATGAAATATGTGAAAAAGAATACAAGTAAAGTAAGAAGCTATGTGATAAGAATGTGAATTACATGGAACTACGCTACGTGAAGTAAACTATGTGTCTACGTGAATATTTTAAAAGATATAAAAGGTAACGTCTATGTAATGTGTTATTATATGCGAACATGTGTTATGTGATAAGAATCATGACTATGAAATATGTGAAAAAGAATACAAGTAAAAGTAAGAAGCTATGTGATAAGTGAATGTGAATTACATGGAACTACGCTACGTGAAAGTAAACTATGTGTCTACGTGAATATGTTAAAAGATATAAAAGGTAACGTCTATGTAATGTGTTATGAGAGTTATAGGTATAGTTTTCGTGCCAAGAGTCGAGGGTTCTACGTGGTCCTACGGGATATAGTAGTCCTACGAGACATATGTGTTCTACGTGGTCCTACGAGACATATGTGCTCTACGTGGTCCTACGGGACATAGTGGTCCTACGGGAAAAATTCTACGCGCCACTAATGGGAATTATACGAGCTGTGGTGATAGCATAGTGCACAACCTCTATGTACTCACATACCTTAAGTTCTCAGTAGTGTGCATGGGCTAACCAAAACGATAACGATAAAATGTGAGTTGTAATGAGAAATGTGTTACATGTTTTATATGATGATATATGTGAATGTGTGTATATGTTACAGGAAAGAATGTGTGTTATGGGTTATGACATTTGTTATGGGATATACATGAATATATGTTAATGTATATATATATGAATGAATATTAATGACTCATATGATGATGTAAGAACATGTTATAAGATATAGAATATGAAAATAAGAGATCATATGAACAAGAGATAAGAGATAGAAAGGATAATCATATAAGAGTATGAGAAAATATAAATGGTGACATGCATGTGTGTATGTAATTGTTACATGAAAAAGTATGTATACCAGTATGACGTTGTATTACATGATATGTACATGCATTTGATAATTTAAATATGTATTTATATGTCTCACTAAGTCTATGACTTAGCGTGTGAGTGTTTCACACGTAGGTTCAGGAAAGCAGGAAGAGGAGCAAGACATGTTAGTTTCTCCTTACCGAAGGTCAGATCAGAACCTAAATGAATAACATGTATTTTTTATAGATAGAATCTAGTTGGCATGTAGTTAAAAGATTTGTATTAGATACGCTCTGATCAGTTTTGTAAAAGCATATGTTTTATATCATAGAAAATAAATGGTTTTATTAGAAATATCAAATTGAATCTTGGGTATTTTGTAAAAGTAAATGTTTTGAGAAGTCAATATGACACCTCAGACTCGTAT